CAACATCTAGGTCGTAAAGAATATTAAAATAAACAATCATGAATCTAATAAATCAGAATCCTAGAAGCATTGAACTGCACTAGTTCTTAATGTTTATGGTATCTAGACAGTTTACTAGGCAAACAATCTTCACATCTACAAATCGGAAGCTGTTGGGCACAGTGGAAACAAGTTTGATTTCCCAACCTCAGGGTTGGCGTTTCAATCCCGCGTTGTGCATTTCGCTTGTGTCCTTGAGCAAGGCACTTTATCTGCATTGTTTCTCTCTACCCAGCAACTCGATTATATAAATGGGGTTGCCTGTGACCAGCTGCCGCTACGCCAAACCGCTTGCGGTTGACCAGGGAAAACAAAGTTCTATGTAACCTTCAAAGGAAAGGCGGTATATAAATACCAAATAACAGCAAAAATAACAAATACATAATTTAATAATTCATTTGTTATATGCTTTGAATGATATTGAATTAAGGGGTTGAGCTGTAGGGCAGGAACGCGGCTAACCTTAACGTTAGTGCTGGTTCGAGACCCTCCTGAATGGTAGGAGTCTTCTCGAATAAGTACTTAAAACCTGAGGTACAGTGTACACATATCTCAGAAAAGTAAGGGTTACCCGGAACCCGATGCTCTGGTTGATTTCAACCTGTAGAATGATGTAAACACAAAGCTACTTAGCGGATATCTACAGCTTTTCAGGCCCGTATCCTTGGGGAGGGGGCAAACCCCCTTTTCTAGAAATCCCCCATCTTTTTGGGCAAACCCTCCCTCGAATTCCAGAACAAGTCCTCCAACCCATCTATGCATTTCAGACCTACCCAAACTCACAAAGAATGTTTTGCTGCAGACCTTTTTCAAACATAACTGCTATTATAGAATTTTGGACTCGTAAAACACAAAAACCTCTGGATTCAGGTGTTTCGCCGACCCCTCCGAGGCTTCAACCCTGGTCCTCACGCCCAGAGAACTCACCCTTGGAAGAACCTGGCTACAGGCCTGGCTTCTACAGTAGTCAGAGACCATACCTTCATGCAATTCAGCAAAATGAGAGTTATGGGATAGTCTACCTTTTACTGCAATAAATCACTGCGCACATGTCTTTTCATGTACAGTATGTATGGCACCAACAAAATTAAATATAAAGAAAATTATAAAAAATATGATCCTAAAATAAAATAGAAAAAGTTGTTATGCATACTACAAGGCCTAATACATTAACATTATTATTTTACAGTATGTACCTAAAATATTTCATGCAGTGGCTCAAATTTCCTATTATTCAAAATATGTATCTTCACTCAGCAACAGTCTTTATAGTAGGCCTATTGTACAATATGATTTTTACTTTAAATGTTATCCAATATGTAACATTGAGACTGTTGACACTTATAATCAAGTAGGGTTCATTTCGCCTCAAAAAGATGTCAGTTTTTGGCCTACGGTAAACACACAAAGCTAATGTCGCCAACAAATCACTCACTTTGCTATCGTTACTAGTGTCAAAGGTTAATGTTTCTGTGCTTTACATATGCCACAATCTTCTCAAAGAGTTAACAGGTGTTAGCAGCATGTGACATGTAATTATTATTCTGCCAACACCAAAAAAAATCTTCAAAAAATATTGTATACTGCTGTACCACATTTTCACACTTCACATGTATACAGACTGAGTACTACATATATAGTCAATGCAGTACAGTATTACTTACTAAATAGTATTTATATAATATATATTTTAATAAAATAGTAACTTATCTAAACATCAGCACAAACCATTTTATTTAGTATGAAAAATTTCAATTTTATCAAACCAACTGACAATTTCGATGTTTGAAATTCATCACATTGTATATACAAACCAGATGAATATCACTACATTTCATCTAGTGTCTATGATGTAAAAGTAGAATGTTTATTGTGATGAATTTCTGCTATTTCAGTTGCCGATATCAAAAGAATAAACAACTAGAAACGAACTAGATTCCTAACTCACTGATAAAGAGAAAGTATATAGAATTACCACTGAGTTTATAGAGAACTAGAATATAGTCTTAATAGGAACAATAGCAATGACAATAGGTGGGATCAATGTATGACCATGGCTGACAAGCCTGGTTAGCTACACACCAAGATGACAATTGACTTTGTGACAGGAACACCAACGCCGCTCATAGTTGGTTTCACAGTTAGCATTTCAACTCCAATTAGGCATGTTTAATGTGCTAATGAGTAGCTCCCTGCCTTGCTAATATATCATGGTACTCCAGGCCTTTTAAAAAGGCTACTTTATCCACTGATCAAATTATCATAGTTCACTAGTCTTGAGAACATTGCCTTATTTGTCTTTAAAAAAAAAATTGTATGTTCATTAGAGAATGAAAAAAGAATCATTAATAAAAATTAACAGGCAAGTTCAGACTAATAGTAAGAGTCAATAAGGTATTTAAAAACTTTCTAAAAAATACATTATCCAGATTTGTTTTACCCTTTTTTTATAAGAACCAGTAAAATTTTGCACAGGCTGAGAGGCTTAGTGTTCTTATTTTTCAATTTGGAACAAAATAATTAGTTTTCCAAAAACTTATGAAATATAAAACTAGATTAATTTTGCAATTGAACAGACACTCTGTCAAATGTTTATACTTCATGAAATATATTCATGACATTATGAATAAGGTTATGTGAAGAGAATAAATTAGTAAAGAAAAACATGTGGTATACAGTAGATTCAAAAGATTCATTTATTTATTGCCATGCATACAGTGAATATGAAATAATTTATTTCTGAGTTGAAGAATTTCAAATAAATAAATTATATATAGGCCTAAATATAAAATAAACATTTGCCAGCAACAATCTTGAATTTAATAGGTTTACTACATGATAAATACATGTACAGTAAACATATTTTAAAAAACACTACAGTACAGTACAATAAATGCTTTTTACAAAAAAAAAAATGACATATTTAATGGAAATACTTACAATTTATTCAAATTACCGGTAGAGGTCACTTCATTTCATTAAAAGTGAAAACTAGATTAATATAAAATTATTTTTTAATACTATATTCCATTTATTAGGCTTCTCACCAGCATTTAAATAGAAATAGGCCTAAGGCCTATAAATACAATTCAAATAGAGAATAAAAAAAATCTATAGAATGGAAAGAACAAGAAGTACAAGGTGCAAGGACTCCTCTTTGAAATAAATGCATTTGAACCAAAGATCTTATTATAACAAGATAGCATTCTCCGCTGTTTGCGTGTAACAAATAGAAGCGTCCAATTCACGCAGAAAACAATAGAAAGTAATTGTAATTGAAAGAGGGCGTCCTAGTTGTTACTATGGCGGGTGTTCCAGAATTTGCACTGAGATCATAGATGTCAAAGTTTAAAAGTAATTGTAAGTGCAAGGGGGGGGGGGGCATCCTACACTGTGTTATTACAGAACTTGCACACAGAAATCAAAGAGAACTACATTACAATATATCAAACAATACTACATTAAGCGATACAAAGAAAAAGAGCAAATAAGTAATAACAATGAAAACATAAATGTAAGAAATTAAAAATACTGCACTAAAAGTAAATAAAAAGGTAAAGCAACAGGACAAAAAAAAGGAGATCATGAAACCGGTTTTCTTGAATATGTACTATAGAGCCAGAAAATGGTGATCTGATATGTTCAGCTGTCATAAGCAATGAACAGCAAAGTGTAAATCAGCTTGGAATCAGCCTTGGCTTTCCCCAAACTGTACTACAGGGAAACTACAAGTCTAGTCGGAATACTTCAATTGTACTGGAAGTACTCAAATTCAAATATACCACCTCTTATAAAGTGGTGATTTTTCACAGTACGTTTCAACTGTACTGTAACTGTTTCAACAAGTTTAAGCAAAACTTTAGCATACCAACGCAGTGATCTTCCAAAGCCATTTTAGCCATCAATATTACCGGTAAACATAACCAGCCAACCGGTAAAAATTTTGTGTTTGAATAAAATTACCAATGATTAGGTAGTCTAAGCTGGCCTTCTTTCAATAAATAACATCATTCTAGTCTATGCCATAGGCTATGACTGTATAGTATTGCTTTTTGAAGTCATTAAACACCACTCAAAAAGGGGTAATGCCTCAAACTGCGCACATATCTGAATTTTTAAACAAATTTATCAGTAAAAATGTTTCAATTGGGAGAACACTGCATTGTGTGCAAGCATAGGAATAAAAATCTCAGGATAAATAAAATTTTTAACAAACATTAGAAGGTTCTTGTGACATCATAAATCAAGGGAATTTTTTTTATAAAAACACCGAGGCTGAAAGTGAATAAAAAAAAAATAAGAAAAAAATAAGAACAAATTGAGGCTGAGGTAAAATGTTAAATGAGGTTTTTATTTCCAAAAAAAATAGATAAACCAACAAATCACTAGTCACATATAGTACAGTGCAGTAGACCTACCCTGTACAGTTAAAACAAAATAAGAACATTTTGAGCAGAAAAAATTGGTAACAAAATAAGAACACTGAGCCTGGGCAAAATCTTACTAATTCTTATAAAAAAATAACCAAAGTGTAAATTTAATAACCGAATCGTTGAAGACCATCAAATAACAAAAATCTTACATGTTCAAAGTAAAGAAAAACATGCTTCCAACTCACAATGCTTGACCAAAGCAATTCTAGTACACACTTATAGCCTAACAGAATGTAGTTGAAATATTAGGCAACTAATATGGCTGACTCCAGAACAGCCAAGGAGTAAGAAATCTGCTCATACTGTACACTAATCAGAACTAAAAAAATCACAACTTCATAACAAAACTGTACAGTATATAAAAACCGAAAACTGTTATAAAATTTTCTAAAAAAAATTTCATGTCAATAAGCTTGACAATTGCCCTCCATAACTGAAAGTAACTTCTGATGTAAACATTGTTATAGCTGGAAAACTTTGTAATAGGCATTTTTTAATTTAGCTGTAAAATATTTTAGTAAAACTTACCACAATATTTAATCTGATGACAGAGAGTTTACCACAATTTAGTTAACTCTTTGTTTCAGTAAAAATATATTCCAACGTAAACAAGATTTACACACTTTGTTTATATGGGCTTTTAAAAATTTTACAGTCAATATTGTAACCAACTCAAAATGGAAGATGTACTGTACGGCTGAACAAGACAGCATTGTCCTCTCTGTGCTTTTATTTTAATCAGTATCCCTAAATCCATTTGCCTGTTCATGAAGACATTATGTAGTTCATTATTGGAGGACAACAATAGCAGTACTCATCAGTTACTTCCTGGTGCAGCAACAGCTTGCCTATAATAACTGTACTGCTCAGCAAAATATTTCCACAATTTGGTCAATTCAATTTTTTCTTGGCTCTTTTAAACCATTTGAGATATTAGTAGCCTTAGTGAATACTGTAATTGTCATGTAGTATAAAAATTTATTATTGTACAAATACCATGTTGAAAGTATGTACTGTATACTGTAAACTTCCTTGCGCAAAATACCATTGAATAGCAGTGGCGGATCAGGGGGTGATTCTGGGTGTTCGGACGAACCCCCTCTGTGAAGGAACGTAGCAAAATATTACTGGGTCCTGGATAACAAAAGGCATGCTAACCTACCTAGGCATAGGTTGGCAGATGGGACAAACTAGGCTTAGCTCATTTAGCCTTCAATTAAATAAAATTAAAAACACTGTTTTTGGTTCGACGTCGTAATAATTTATGTACGAAAGTGCGTTCTTCAGGCCTATCAGTTCATCGGTCCATGGAGGAAAGACTACGTATCCAACTACTCAATATTGTTGGAATATAACAATATATTGCCTATGTCTTGATTTTTTTTCTCTATGCATAGGCCTAAGAACGACTCGATAAAATTACCTGACCTTTTCAAGAGGGGGGAAACCTTGAATTTTAAAGAAATTTAAGGTCAGTAAAAGACACCTCAGAAGTCGGGAAAGCTCATTTCTGGCCATTTAGAAATCAAAATTTTCCCTTCTTCCTGGGGTTTTTCCTAAACATTTTGAACTCCACCCCCCCCCCCCTCTTTCAAATCCTGGATCCGTCCCTGAGATAGTAAAATCATTCTCTGGATGAGTAATATTAAAACATTTTTTACAGTATGAAGGCATGATATACCAAGAGTTTCTAACCTACTACACATCACCACAACAGTAAAATTAAATACTTCCATGCTATAAGCAATCAGGAGAGAATGCAACTCATCCGAATAACCTAGCATTACTTCACATACCGTAATGCTGCATTTCAGTGAACCTAAGATTTTATAATTTGTCTCATTTCAGATAGCTGTAATAGCCAACAATATATGTGGGCTATTAGGAACGAATTAAAGACAACCAGTGAAAATGCAAGCCAACAAATTTAAAGTTAATTTGGTCAGGGTCAGTAAGCAAGCTTAAAGCACAAGAATATTAAGTTTTCGTGCTGTATTTGCCCTTGTATGTATGTGTATTGATGTATGCATACTGTACATAAACAATGATGTAAACAAGAAATATTCCCTATAAAAAAAATGCTGCAACATCTTTACCTTTACAGTATCTCATGTGGGAATTTTGTTATGTTACTTAAACTTAAATAAATTCAAAAGGGTATAGCGTGTAACGAGGTATTTTAATATTATTTTAATTTCATTTCTGTGAATACCATGAAATTTAAATTACCGTAATTAGCAATTGTGAATAAATAAATTCAAAGGGGTATTTTTGTTTAATTTGGTTTTCATTGCCATAAATTAATTTCTAAGTGTTTAGCCTATAACAAGATATTTTAATATTATTTTAGTTTCATTTCCAATATACCATGACATTTAAATTACCGTATTGATTGTGTCAATTCTTTCATTTGGATTTTTATTGTAATATATCAGGATTAATTTTTATTAATTTTATTATTTATTTCTAATTTTTAACATTATTTTTATTCACTGCTGTCGACTGATCAGGGTGTGTGGTAAGTTAATTAATTAACCTTAAGATATTTCATCAACAGCTATTGCAGGTCCACTGGTGGACCGAAGTCTCAGTATGTTGACGCCAAATCAATCTCATATCAATTTCATTTCGTCTCATCTCTTCATCTATTACGTTGTCTGTCCCTTCTTCGTTTTGCCATCCATGGCGGACTCCATCCTGTTATTGCTTTTTGTTTTAAGAGGCTTAATACTTACTGTAAAGGTCTAAAATTTATTTATATGCCACGAAAATGCTTGCACCTAGGGCTAAAACATAGACTCAGCCACTTGACAGCCCCCCTGTCAACAATGCAATTTGGGGTATAGCTATGTTCTGTATATGACCGCCCGAGAACTGCTGACTACCACTGAGCCAAACCGCATTTTTACCATTATTGTTATTAATATTATTAATAATATTAATTATTTTTAATATTATTTTATTTATTTGTATTCATCCCCCTTCCCCAATAACGTGGCTAGGCCCTTCTCTACTTAACTACTGCCGTCAGTGTGTGGCTCTTTTTTACGTGTCGATAGAGCATTGGTACCATACGGTATTTCGATAATACTAATAGTTAACCCTAACCCTCTTTAGTCTACGGCACCGAAATGTGGAATAGACTGGCTCTACCACCTTGGCTTGCCTAGGCCTCTGAGGTTGTGTCGTCAGTTTCTGTGGTTATTTTTTTATCGGAAAAAACTTTTGTTTGCGATAATTTAATTACAATTCTCTATCTTCTGCTATTTATTATCTTTGCTTTAGTTGTGTTACGCATGCTCAATTGTTGCATTACAGTTCAATTTTTCCCCATTTCTATTTCATATCCTCTTCGCATGTGCTATTTGGTTCCAGAGACATTTTTTGGTAACTGATACCCTCTTCGCAGACGCTATTTGGTCCCTGAGACCAACATAACTTACTCATCATTGCACATGCTTACTGGCAGTCTAGTTAACTGCCGCATACGCATTTCTTAGTTCGGAATTCCCATTTATTTATAGCTCACTAAATCATCTGTCTCTTATACACATCTAGATGTGTATAAGAGACAGGTATATATATGTGCATGTGCATATATATTATATTTACTTCACGTTTATGAAGTGTGCTACTGTTAAGTGTAGTTTCCGAATACATTACTTACTTTAATACTAAACCATCATTTGCTATTCAGTCAAATGTGATGTTCTTGGTAGAAGATAAACAAGCATGTATGGAAAAATCTAATTAAATCTTAATCATATATTTATAGATTTTAATGAATAATACAGATCAGTACCGCTATGTAAATTTTGTGGTTGGGAGAGTGGGGTATGAATTCAATTATTTATTAAAATATTTGATGTATGTTAGACAAACATCATCAGCCATCGGCTGCTTGTTCAGTTTTATCCAAAAGCAAATACAAATAAATCATTCAAATACCATGAACATGACAAGCTGATTGTGAATTTCATAATACAGTATTCAAGGTATCAGTATAATGAAAAGATGAATGACAGTGAACATCTGAATTTTAATACATACAGTGGTGTATCCAAGAAAAGAGGTGGCCAAGAAGTGACTTTCTACAGATAAAAAGGTTTACAAAATCTTAGCTCCTCCCCACCTCAGGTCCACCCATTACTAGGCTGAGATATGACATTTTATGGCACCTCTAAAGCACTCAAAATGAAACATTTGAATGTCATTTTCTTTTTTCCCCATTTTTTTTTTTTTTTTAAATATTTTCAGGAATTTAGGAGGAGGGCTGTGTCGTTTTGGGCCTGCCAACCTTGAATTTGCATACAAATATAATTCTTAATACATTATTCTATATTTTAATAGTCTTTACCAACTCTAATTAATACCATTATGGTACAGTATGACATACAGGCATAATGCTGTCAGCCTACCTTCAGTGGTAAATATGGGAAATACCCCTGAAAAGACATTAGATTGCTCATTTGAAATACAACGAACAAGTTCTAGCTAGTTTTTGCTAACTTAGTCATTTCTCTATTAAACTGTTAAAATAACTACCAGCCAAAATGAATGATTTAAATGCAAAAAAATCAAGATTTTTATAGTATAAAAATATTATTAGTTATACAGTTAACTGGTGAAGAGAAAATGTTGTTTTACATTTGAAAGCTAATAAATTAATTAAATATATACAAAGTAAGCAATTCTCAACAGAACATAGACTGGCATATACAGTAACTACGTAGTATACCATACTTTTATCTTACTTTAATGATGATCAATATATTTTTGTTTTATAGCATTTCTCTCCATTTCCATACATCTGGTCCAAATGAAGCAACTACAAAGAAGTTACTAAAAACTTGTAAAACCCTGACAGGTATATAATAATTTACAAATAAAAAATATTCACACTACTGCATCATAACACTATTTACTGAAAAAATTTGATAAGATTAAAATTCCAAAATACCTAGTACCAAAGAAAATAAAACTGCTGATACATAAAGAACAAGTGGCAGAGCGGTAAGGCAGGAGTGCCGCTACCAACATCCTTAACATCGGCACTGGTTTGAGCTGCTCCTCGTCCAAGGTTCGGTTGGAAGAACCAAGTCTTCTTCTCGAATAAGGACTTAAAAACAGGAGGTCTAGTGTACAACTGGCTCATGTGCACTTCAAAGAACCCATTGCATATTTTGGAAGAGTAGGGGGTTAAGCGCCTTGAGCACTTTAGTGGAGATGTGCGCTTAATAAATCTTATTATTATTATTATTATTATTACCACGACGCTATGGTTCATTTCAGCACCTGTCGTTGTGGAATGATATGAACTAAGCATCTTTCTTTGGTTTCAACACTAGTCATGAACGCCCATATGCTATTCAGTACAATGACACTTGAATTATGGGTTACTCTCCTACTGTACCTCCTACTACCTACAGTACAGTAGTTTGATTTATATTGCACTTTATACAGAAGTCTCAAAGCGCTTGAGGTTTGGACTAGCTTGTACAGTAACTTGTGTCTCCCCTAAGGGTTTCTTCCCTAAGGGTTTCTTCGTGTCTGAGCTACCAGGTAAACCAGTACCAGCTACTTTTGTGTGTCCACAACAGGGGAGGTAACACCCTACTGGTCACGAAAGATGTACTGGGTTATTTTAAGTG